CGGCCACCCCAGTTCCAACACTATTGTAATGAGATACATTTTTCCCTTGGATCAAATGACATGCCAATTGTCCTGCAGATTCATTATGTGAAAATTCTAAATTGAAAAAAAGAATAAATTAGACTGATTATTTGCTATATAGAATTTACCGTAGAGTCATTTAAATCCTCTTCAATGCTAAAATTTTTATTAGCAAAAATAATACATTATCTGACAATATTTACATACTTTCAGCAAAGTAGTATAAGGCAAGATCCAACATATTTTTATCTTTGCAGAGTTTAAAAATATGAAATAAGGAGAGAAAAATAATTCTCTTTGTTTTGTCTCCACCTACCTGAGGTATTGGGTAATGCATCACCTTTCATCTTCTGAGTCAGTTGGCGTCTCAGGATATGAACTTGACCTCACCACTCCTGCAGCCCTCAGCCCCTCCTAATCTAGCCTTCTGTTCTTGGTTTTCTCTACTGAGCTTTTGTCGTCATTGGTACATTCACAAGTGACTTATTCTCTTATTTCCATAATCTCCCTTGGCACCTTTCTCTACAGTCCTTAGCCTTGACTTTATATATGCTCTCCAATTTTCTTAGTCTCAAGATGCCAAGCTGTTCACACCTATAAAGTGATTCTGTTAAAAAGATTATGCTCTTTGACTTTAGCTGCTTGACAGCTTTAACCATCTCTGCCTTGATTGGTTACTCCCTGCCACACAGTTTCCAAATTCCTAGTAGAGTTGGAAGCTGTTACTCTTCCTCACCTTCCAGGGAAGGAATTGATGCCTTTTTTTAAAGATTTTTATTGGGGAATTGGGGGATGGGAACAGCGCTGGGGAATTGGGGGAAGGAGAACAGACAAATTGCTGTCCTTTTGTTCTTCAGTCTAGTTGTGAAGGACATTGCTTCACTGGTCCAAGTTGGCACCATCATTGCGCTCTTCCCAGGCGAGGCAGATCAGTCGCCGGCTTCTGGACAGCCACTCACGGCGGCTGCTGGCCGTTCATGCTGGCTGCTGGCTACTCACGGTAGCCCATGGCAACCCACTGCAGCAG